TGGGGTCAAAGGTCACAGAGTTGTTGCAGGACTCTTACGGAGGCCGTGGGATCCTCACCTGGGGCGTGGCACCTGTCAATCACCCAGACACGGTGAGAGCGTCATTCATCTTTAATACAAGCAGTTTTCCCACCATTCATCAGGATCCCCGTGTTGAACTGTGTGAACGTGTTTTGTGTCCGCCTGACAGAGCTCTGTACTGGACTTGTACCACATGATGAACTGTGCGTTGGGGACGCTGAACATGGCCAATCACAGCTCTTTCTTCTGCCCTTTGACCCTGAGAGGCGGACTGGGCAGACGTCCCCCGCCGCCCACTGCTTTCCCGCTGCTCAACTGTGACGTAAGCCGCTTTCATTAGCGGGAAACTCATTCAGAGTTACAGCTAACTAAACCTAAACCCATAAAAATATTTTCTTTGCTTAAAATTAGAGATGCACGATATATCGGTATCATCCGATATAAGTAAATTTTTATGTTATCGTTATCGGGCCGAGAAGAAATGTTTGCCGAGGCTTTAAAGCCGATAGTTATTGTATGATTCGCTTCTGTTGAGACACAGATGCGCACTGTTCAAATCCCTTCAAAAAAGCAATATACAGTTTTAATATCGGCTACATGACATTATAATGAGAACATTATATCTGTGTGCTTTTGGACGTGGCTTTTAATGGTGAGAGTTTTGTTTTTGTAATCAGGCTCTCAAAAAATGTCAAAAAATTTGGATTTAGAATTATCGGCCAATATATCGGTTATCGGCTTTCAGATATGAAGAATTATCGGCCAATATATCGGTTATCGGCTTTCAGATATGAAGAATTATCGGCCAATATATCGGTTATCGGCTTTCAGATATGAAGAATTATCGGCCAATATATCGGTTATCGGCTTTCAGATATGAAGAATTATCGGCCAATATATCGGTTATCGGCTTTCAGATATGAAGAATTATCGGCCAATATATCGGTTATCGGCTTTCAGATATGAAGAATTATCGGCCAATATATCGGTTATCGGCTTTCAGATATGAAGAATTATCGGCCAATATATCGGTTATCGGCTTTCAGATATGAAGAATTATCGGCCAATATATCGGTTATCGGCTTTCAGATATAAAGAATTATCGGCCAATATATCGGTTATCGGCTTTCAGATATAAAGAATTATCGGCCAATATATCGGTTATCGGCTTTCAGATATAAAGAATTATCGGCCAATATATCGGTTATCGGCTTTCAAATATAAAGAATTATCGGCCAATATATCGGTTATCGGCTTTCAAATATAAAGAATTATTGGCCAATATATCGGTTATCGGCTTTTAAATATAAAGAATTATTGGCCAATATATCGGTTATCGGCATTCAAACATAAAGAATTATCGGCCAATATATCGGTTGTCGGCTTTCAAATATAAAGAATTATTGGCCAATATATCGGATATCGGCTTTCAAATATAAAGAATCGGTGATCAGTATCGGCCCAGATTTTCATATCGGTGTATCCCTACTTAAATAAATGACAAAAAATTTAAAAAGCCTTAAAATAATCCTTATTTAACACCATGATTGTCCAGATTAATGGCTCTCCAAAACCATTTTGGGCTGAAACCGATAAAAGCTCTTTTGGCCAAAAAATGAGTAGGCGAAATTTCGATGCATCCCTAATAAAAACTAGACAATTTTTAACAAAAATGTATTAAAAAAAACGTTACTAAACATTAACTACAGTTAAAATCAAAGCGGAAAATGTTCAAATAAAATGAATTCCAAATATTAACACTGATCAGTGATGCTAAAACAACACTGATCTTTTCATTTATTCAGGATCTGATGTTTTTTATCTGTTCATTAATACAGTATCTTTTCTCTCTCTCTCCCCCCAGCCGGCGCTGTGGTTTCACTCCGGCTCAGTTCTGGCTCTGGCTCTGGACTGCATGACGGTGCCGTATCGGTTGGGACAGGGCAGTTCAGCGATGTGGCAGCTCTCGGACGCCCTGACCGCCTCGGGGAGGAAGGTGCGTGTTTAATACACACTCCTGTAAGTGTACAGGTCTCTACACACCAAAGATGAGAACTATAACAACACTGTTCATTTTTACTCGAAAGACATCTTTACTCTAATTTATAATTGAATCATTCACTCAAAAATGTTGTTTTGTGTAGTTGTGTGTCGTGCAGCGCCAGCTCCCTTTGACAAGCTGTTTCCAAATCCATGATTGCTTTGGGCTGGTATAGTTTGAAATGACGTCACAGAGGAGTATCGTGTTTTCCAGGTGGTTTCAGCGTACGGCTCTGTGCCGTTTCCCATGATGCACGGCAGCTGCCTCCCTGAGGCTCTGGATGCTTTTTCAGATGCTTTACCATGGAAACCGCTTTCAGCGTGTCCTGAGCTCGGCGACGGGCGCTGTTTCGGCCAATCGGTGACTCTGAGAGGTTTAGACGGGCAGCGGTTAGTCAGGTGAGAGGACCGACTATTTGTGTGCACTTATAAAAAAGGGTGGGGTTTAATTGATTGAGTATGATATTTTGATTTAACATTATTCTGTCAAAAAATGTTAATATATCCATGGACAAATTGTTCACAATAAAATCAATAACATGCATTTAGAAATTTTATTTCATACCAAGTTAAAACAGCAGTTATATTAATTTGTTAATGTAATTTCATTTAAATTCTGCTTCTTAAAATTACGTTTGTTACCTTTAAAATTTAGGAATTTAATTGTTATTAAAAATGCAATTTAATTAATTTTAAAATGCTGTAACCACCAAATGAAACGATTAATATTTCTGTCAATTGAAATAAGGCTGAAATAAAATTAAAGTATTTGATGAAAAACTAGAAATGTTGCCTTGGAAACCAAGTAAAATATGTTTAAGTATTAATTGGAAATAAATAAAAAACTAAAACTAAACTGAAAATAAATTAATCTTAATAGTGATATTAAAAAAATATCTCAAACTAATACAATAGCATAAAAAATAAAGTAAAAATGTAAATGAAAACTGAAAATATAAAGATAAAAGCTCATTCAAAATATCAATAACGGTATATATATATTATATTGTAAAACTATAGAAAGGTTTCATTAGTTAACATGAACAATGAATGAACAATAATTCCACAGCATTTATTAGTCATAATGCAAAATTTCTACATTTACTAATGGTTAATACACTGCAAACAAATATGAACAAACTTTTAACAAAATGAATAAAAATATCGCACATGGTTCATGTTAACTATTGAGACCTTATTGTAAAATAACTCTTGCACATGAAAATGTATATGTATGTTTATATAATATGTAATAATATTGTAGTTGTGATGCTAACAGTGTTGTTGTCCGCAGTGCTGTCCTGCCGGGTGTGGAGCCGCCCAGTCCTCTACACTACGAGCGCTCTGGAGAAGACGTGCTGGCGGCGTACGTCAGGTCCCGTTACCCATCATCCCCTCTGTGAGTGATCCACACACACTAACCGGACGGCTCTGAGCGGCTGTCATTGGTCTGATGTGTGTGTGTGTGTGTGTGTGTGCAGGGCGGTGCAGCTGCTGTCCAGTCCCAGTAAACTCACGCCTCCGTTCCCACAGATCTTCAGTCCAGCTCTGGGTCCGCAGGGTTTCCTCCAGAACCGGTCTGATCCGGCCGACAGTGAGTGCCGCCCCATAATTAAGATCAGGGTTTTAGGGCTTCAAAATCTTAGGGAATATTCACTCCCATTATAAAGTCAACTAGGATGAGTTGAGGGCGAGTAAATCATGGGATCATTTTTAATTTAAATTGTTGGGTGAACGATCCATTTAAAGGAGTAGTTCACTCGCCCCCGTGTCATCCAAGATGTCCATGTGTTTCTTTCTTCAGTCGAAAATAAATTAAGGATTTTCATGAAAAGATTCCAGGATTTTCTCCATATAATGGACTTCAATGGGGACCAAACGGTTCAAGGTCCAAAAGTTTCATAAGAATAAGAATATTGTTAAGAATATTCTTTTCATAAAAGAAAAAGACCCTTATTCATCGTCTGGTGTCGTTTAAAGCCCTTTGAACAGTTTGTAGTTTGCACTGAAACTCTCATTTGGACGGTGAACCGTTTGGTCCCCATTGAAGTCCATTATATGGAGAAAATCCTGGAATGTTTTCATCAAAAACCTTAATTTCTTTTCGACTGAAGAAAGAAAGACATGGACATCTTGGATGACATGTGGGTAAGTGAATTATCAGCAAAAGTTTTTTTAAAAGTGACCTCCTTTAAGGTCAGTATTTGTATGAACCCATAACATCAGTCTCTCTCTCTCTCTCTCTCTCTCTCTCTCTCTCTCTCTCTCACTCTCTCTCTGTCCTCCCCTGTTTAACTCCTCGTCTTCTCCCAGCTGGCTCTCAGCGGGTCTCTGGTGTCCCGGTGCTGACGAGTCTTCAGTCGGGTCCTGCCGTGGGTCTCCAGCTGTCCGAGCTGCAGAAGGTGTGTTCAGCGCTGGACCTGCGGCGCGTGACCCCGAGCTTCCTCTCGCACGGGCCCGAGGTCAGCGAGCTCAGCGAGTCCCTGGAGCAGCTCCGCAACCTCGCGCTCTGCTACCGCCAGGACGGCTCCCGCTCTTCCTCCGATGAGGACGACTGAGGGATGCTCTTCGTCGAGTCGCAGAACCGCATTCAGCTCTCGGGGAATCATGGGATATGAGCTCCGTCACCCTTCAGAACAGCACGAACATTTAGAAGACTGTGAGAAGTACGATTAATCGCATCCCAAATCAAAGTTTGTGTTTACATAATATATGTGTGTGCACGGTGTATAATTATTATTTTGTATATATAAATACACACACATGCATGTATATATTTGAGTATGTATATACTGTATATATAAATGTATATATTATACATAAATAAGAAAATGTTCTTAAACATATACATGCATATGTGTGTATTTATATATACAAAATAGTTATACACAGTACACACAGATATTACAGTATGTAAACACAAACTTTTATTTAGGATGCGGACCAGCGCTAGATGTAAACCTCATCAAACCTGATGTTTTTTTAGGGCTTAATTGTGTAAAAGTCCCAATGAAATAGTTATCCTTCTTATAAATGATCAAATATGACTGTTGTTTTACCCTTCAAGAAATTTAACGGTTATTATTCATGTGCATCCTCATCAAATACTTGTTTAATAAAACCATTTTATTTTGGTTGGCTAATGTTTTTGCTGTGTGATCTGGTTATTAAGAAAATATACACTTATAAAATTGAGACTCGTTTAATATATATATTTGTCAGAACAAGAACTCAGTCTCAAGCACTTTTTACAGTGTATCCCTCACAGCATTGTTTTCTTCCTCAGGCATCTGCTATGGCTGAAGTCTATTGTTAACATCAGTTGTCAACCCCAGAACCAGCTGTTGAGATCATTAACTACTCGATAGTTCTTGTTTCTCCTGATATGATCGCAAGAATAACAGGCGTGTTCAAGACCAAACGAGCCTCCTTTTGCAAAAAAATGTTCCCTCCAGGTGAAGTGTTGCCTGTACAAATTATCATTTTGGTCCAGAAGCTTAAGATGGTCTGCTAGTTCTTTGGGGGTCTTGAAGTCATCCACATGGATAAAGGCACTGGCTGGTATGAATTCCTCATAGTTCGCTCTGGGTGGGCCGATGACCACGGGAACAGTGCCGAGAGACAGAGGTCTGTACAGTTTTTCTGTAATGTAGTCTTTGTGGATCGAGTTCTCAAAGGACAGGTAGAATTTACAGCTGGACATTACATCTGTATAATCTTGATCACCAATACGCTTGTTGAAGTGATTTCCGTAGGTTTGTACACTAATGTGTTTTTCAAACTCTCCATAGAATTTTGACCGCCTAAAGTTTGGGTTCCAGTTACTTACAATCCAGCAAACAAGTTTATTCTTACGCGGGATTTCGTAATCTTTCTTTCCACCAGTGTTCTCTAAGATTCGCCCGTAAGGGACCAGGATGTCTGAATCTAGTCTGTAACTTGACGTCAGATTAAACAGATTGTTTAGATTTGAATGCCGTGCTGTATGGGTGGGAGACTCCATGTTCATCCAGACCCATTTCTGGAATGGCGGTCGTGGCAGTTTCGGCATGTTGGATAAGTCCCCATGGATGTCTCTGTGATGAATTAAAACGCCATGTGCTTTGTTAAACTGACTCTTGTCGACTGTCAAGTGGCAGCCATGGATGTCGTACATTGAACTACAGAGGCCTAAATCAAACTGTTGCCCAAAAGGCCACATCCAGACCAGGATAATGGTGTCTAGATCATCTCCCTGCGATGAAGCTGCTTCTGTTTGTGTTAACTGGTGTTGGACAGAGGTGAAGTTCACCGAACAGTTGTCGTTCACTATTTGGATTTGATTTGTCCTGTTAAGAGCGTTGATACAGATGTTTCTACAGTCATCATCATGTTTGGGAGCGACTGGACAGTTTAACCAATTTACTGACGGCTCATAGTACATGTAGAAGATTGCCGAGAAACCTGTTATCAAGACCACTGCGATGAAAAGGTTCTTGCAGGATCTGGAGGAGTTTTGGGAATCCATCTTTGACCTTCTGTGGAGAGAGCATGAGGAAGGGCTGGTGTTTAAATATCTTTCCAGATTTGTTTCAGAAATGCTTTGATCAGCTACATATTTCTTATATCAGGAAGAATGTTCATAACCCATAAAATGGCACTGAAGGCACAGATATAACCCAGTTGGCAATCTATAAGGACCAAAGATTGGGAAATAAAACTATACGCTGTCATTTGTTTTTCACATCCTCACTAGGGGTATCACGATTATGCAAATCCTCGATTCGATAAAACTTTAGATTCTTGGTTTTTATATATATATTTTTTAAAGCCCAAACCGGCCAATCAGGATGCACTCTGTCTGACATGCGGTTCATGAGGCACACACGCAAGAGCTGTGTCCCAATGTGAAGGGTGCGTCCTTCGAAGGCTGTAGACTTCGAAGGATGCAGCCTATTCGGCCTTCGAAGGACGCTTCATGTAGCCTTCGTGGGATTTCCTAATTGACCCTTCGCTAAGCCACGCCCGAAAACCGCCACTGGCCAATCATGTCTTAGCAACCTTAACTATGCGCGGGAGGTCTGGCAAGCTTTCAAACGAGGGAACATGCTGAAGTATTGTGCATATATGGATTGTGCAAATCTGATACCGGTATACTAAGTTTGGACCGGGGAGAGGAATTGTTTTCCTTCCAGAAAATCTCAAAGCCAAGGGGAGAAATGATTGGCGTGATCTAGCGTCTATGTGCGACCCATTCTGGTAAATGTCGACATGCTTAACAAAAACACCTATTGCTTGGAAATATTGACGGTTCTTTGGTCATAATGATATAACGTAAAATAAGACGATTAAAGAGACAAGACAAAGTCTCACGGACATACTTTAAAATATATTTCAGCATTTTGTTAATCGACGTCCTACTAACGTTACCCCTTAACTTAACCCAATCGCGGCTCTCCCGGTATTAGTGTTATTCCACAAGATTTATTGATTAGCTGTTTGATTTAGAATTATTACGATTATTTTCACATACCCTGCTGTGTATGAACATAGCTGTTCCTCAATTTGTGTTTCCCATTTGAATGGTCAGCGTATGAGGCGCTGCTGCTTGCGCTGGGACTATAACGTTAGGCTTTAACTTCAATTTTTAAGAAATTATTCTCTAATCGGTGGCATATAATGTCGTGAATATATCCCTCGAATGCATACTGTAGTCCCTTTTGTCTTGCTTTCTCAGATATTTCACTTGTTCGCCGAAAATTACTAATTATCTCATTGGGAATGTCTGACACCGGGTGCATCCACACTATAATAGATGGGCCAGCCGCGAAAGCTTGACTGGCGTAGCAACAGTAACTAGGGAGGGCGGGGCTTAGCGAAGGGTCAATTGCTCAACCAGGTGTTCCCTATTACTGCTCTTGGCGCCAAGCAACGGAGCGAGAGTACAGCTGCCACCCTGATCATTCATTTAATGAAACTGAGTAAACAGCTATAGGCTATTGTCATTTTGTTGTTTAATATTTTACTGGAAATTTTATGTTTTATATTTTCCTGTCTTTAAATGAGGGGCAATATATATAAAATCACATAATTTCAATTCACATAACCACTAAAAAATATTTCGAGTAGGCTATTTTCGGCTCAAGAGTTGGCCAGAGCTGGTTTAATGCTAGAGGCTGCGTCCTGAATAGTCAGATTACACTGTAAACTGTTCAAATATTGGATGTTAACCTACGTAAATATTGTAATGAAATAGCCTAAAAAATAATAATGATAGGCACATAGCCTATAACCTATTCAAATGTTAATCGTACCTTGATGCGATTTTGTAGGGTTTTCTTTTTATTGTCTAAATGGACCATGGTGAATATATTTATACAGGCTGTCAATCCTATTTGAATATTTTAAACCAGTTGGATATAAAAAGTCCAGTGCAAACATTACTCCCGCTCGTCGTGGTCAGCTGTCAGTCACAGTTGCTAGGCGACAAGAACAAGCTAGACCGGTCCGAGCGCTTCAGGTGCGCACTTTGATATGAGACGAAGTTGAAGTTAGCAACAATTTGTTAATATTGTGACAATGGACCAACAATTTTTTACTTTAATTTTTAAAATAACCAGTGGGAGTCTGGGAAAATGTAAGGAACTTCATACTGCGATAGTATTCATGTACAAATGTGAAGTAGCCTACTTTTTTCCCTCACAGGACCACAACACTACACATTTTACATTAAACGACACAAAAGTATATTATATTTTAAATGTATCAACCTTGCAAATACTCAGAGACCCTTACAAAAATAAACTAACCAGAGCCATGAATTCTCTTTTGTGTACACATTTAAAGTTGCATAAAATAATGAAATAATTAATAATTAAGAAATACAATGTACAAGAAATACATAAGGCTATAAAAGCCGTTTTCGCATTTCCACTTGACAAAACCATGCAATGCTGACGAATGAGTTAAGATGAATAAGAAAAAGAAAAAAAAAACTTTTGGCTGTTAACATTGGTTTCTCTGGCTATTTGAGTAAATAAAAACATAATACTTTTATATTTAAATGTGAATGTGCCGTCCACCACTGAACTCTCGGCCACCCTTTTTTTAAATAAAAATGCTGTCGTCACCCGCGCAATGATTTATGGGGTAGGATCGGGTAGGATAGTCCGCGAAGTGTCCATTTATGTATCCTTCCTTTTTTTTTTTTTATTGAACACAAAGCACAGGGGATACATCAAGTAGAAAAATAGATAAAATTAAAAAAAAAAAAAAAAAAAAAAAAAAAAAAAAACATTATGCACAAAGACGACGTAAGCAAGGCAGTACAAAAGGGACATGTATCCTTCCTTTCACAGGGAAACGAAGGATGCATTCGGCGTCGCTTTTGAATCAGGTAAGCCTTCGTCGCGCTGCAATGACGCAACCGGCCTTCGAATACGGCCTTCGGAGGATGCATAACTGAATTGGGACAGCCTTCATCCCACCGCGATGACGCAATCGGCCTTTAAATGCGGCCTTCGCGAATGCAGCCTTTGAATTGGGACGTCCTTCGTCGTGCGGCTGTGACGCAATCGGCCTTCAAATACGGCCAAGCGTCCTTCAAATACGGACTTCGGAGGATGCAGCCTTCACATTGGGACACAGAATGTCTCTCACTCTCTGCCGTGTGCACGCTCTATGGGTTGGAGCAAATTTTTACTCTAGATTACGGAAGATTTTAACTAATTTGCGGGCATCAGGGAGCCACTATCAATATTGTCAACACTCACTGGACCTGCGACTTCAATGAAAGAGGAGGGGGTTCAAGTTCTGTCGATAGGTCTCTTGCCATGCTATCTTTTGAATGGCTGTAGCTACGTTAGAGGAGGTTGACCAATAGGCTTGTTTGAGATGAGCAAATTCTGCGCAGAATCGATCACCGGTGATCAGCGCGAGATGCATGCCGGTTAGAAATGTGTCCGAGAACGGTCCGCCTGGCTCTGATGTCATGCCGACGTATGTCAAAAAACTCTCGCGAGCGCAAGGCGGAAGGGTCGGATTCTGCAGTCGCGCGCAGTTGCTCTCCACCGACTGCGCTGATCAAAAGCATGATGGGAAACGACTTGCTGACGACACAGCTTAATGCTCATTGGTTTAAACAACATGATGAAGGTAAATTCCATATTCATTAAGCTAAATTCTCCAAATCAAGGCCATGTTTTTTTTTTTTTTTTTTTTTTTGAAACTGATATATATTGTGAATCTCTTAAACGGGTTAAAAATAAGAAAGCTATAGTCAGTAACTCAAATATACTAGGCCTACTCTAAAATGTTCAAGTGAAAAATAGCTCTCATTTTATAGATGATGAAGTTTGTAAGTCTGTCTATTTAAGCTAAGCTTATTTTGATTGATTTATTTATTTTATTATTAATTTTATTCTGATGTTTATTTATTTATTTTATTTGTGATGTTATAATAGGCCTATTTGTTTCACGAATTGGTGCTTGTAGGTAGAATATGTTTGTAACTTGCATTCTAATAAAAAAGTAAAATAAATAAAATAAAAGAACAACAGATGAATTGTTCTCTTTTAAAATGTTTGATTTTAAAACTGATATCATGTTTTATGTGTATACATATATGGGTGAATAAACTCTCTGACAGTGCCATATGGGTTATATTTCATTTTTGTTAAAACAATAAACACGTCTGTATTAAAGAAAGAAAAAAAGATTGATAAACACATATTTAACAAGTACTTTGGGTGTCTTGTTCATTATATTTATTTTTATATAAAAGCAACAGAACTTAAATCACATCCAGTTTATTAGCAACACGTGCACGAGCGTGAATCCCGTTAATCCCGCGATATCCGCCTTTGATCTCACAGGTGTCTGATTCACTGCGAGAACCGAGATCTGTCCGGCTTTATTGCGCTTTTTTCACTCCTCCCCTCACTGCAGCCGCCTACTCTCGACTACATTGCAGGCGAGGCGAGGCGCATCTCAAACAAGCCTATAGACTCGCAGCTCTTCAACGCGCGTTTTTTCCCGTTTGGCATGCCGACCGACCGGACGTGACACGGAGGCGTGGCCGCATCGTTCGAGATTGTGAATTAATTTCAGTCACACCCAATCCTCACACAGGTTTTTATTTTTATTTTACTTTTTCACTAGGGTTAATAATTTAGTGTGTGTGTATTCTAAATTTGGTTTCTGACACAATTGCACTGAGGGCTGAATTGCCTTTGCTACTTGCAGTATTCGAGAAATAATTTTCTGTGGGTCATCTGCTGAATACCCAGATAGCAAACTGACATTGAAACAACGTTGATTTTGCTCATCGAATTAACGTTGAACCAACGTCAGACGCGGCATTCTTCAAAGCTAAATGAAAATCGAAAATTGGTTTGCTTTCATAACGTTGAAACAACGCGTTGATTTCAAGTTGATTTTCCGTTAGTTTTGAAAGAATGCCGCGTCTGACGTTGGTTCAACGTTAATTCGATGAGCAAAGCAATGTCAGATCAACGTTGTTTCGATGTCATATTTCCACGTTGATTCAATGTCAGTTTGCTATCTGGGTAGATTTTATCAGGCTGCAATTTTAGTTTTGGTTAAAAAAAGGGAAAGAACCTCTAAATTGTAGCTCGTCATATCTTTGCTCAATGTGGATTGTAAAATATTGGCAAAGGTTTTCGCCCGACAACTGGGGAACATTCTCCCTTCCATCATAACTCCCCCTTCAATATCTGTAGAGTATCCGTCATTATTCTCCTGAGATACCTGACATTATAATATCTTTAGAGTGGAGCTGGAGCTCCATCTTTTCACAAGTTTAGGGATATTTTGTCAGGGTTCTGTCTGGGATATATTCTGGTTTATTGTGCACGCATGGCTTGTCTTGTATTCCTTGTGCCAACTGTCTAGCCCCTTCCATCGTGTTACCTGATAATTGATTAATCCCACCCGTTTTGTTCATTACCCTCTTTTGTTTGCTCCCTATTTAGTCTCCCATTCCTTGACAGATTTGGAGTGGGTTCAAAGTTTCAAAGTTCTGGGTGAAACCTCTGTACACATCTCCCTTTTCATCTGTCATCAATAATTCATATAATTGAATTATTGCCCATTGCATGTAGAAACCTTTGTTCCCACTATTGTTTGCAGTGGCGAATTTAACTATCCAGGAAGTAGGGTTGGGTATCATTTGAGTTTTAACTAATCCGATTCTTATGTATTCATAATTTAGATTTTCAATAAGGAAAAAAAAACCTTGGATATCATTCACTTTTTGACTTCTTGCAAAACATTTAATTGTAGATGAATATCATGAACAAAAATCAACAGTGTTTTAATATTTTCTGGAGTTCAGGTCCAGAAACTGTTATCAAATGTAAAATAACACTTAGGGTCGCCAACTTCAGAAAAGAAACATGCGGTTCTTTACAGGAAAATAAAGGAGACTCAAAATATTTGTACTTTATCACACAGTATTTGTCATTTCAGGTTTGTATGTGTTTAAAAGTTTCTCAGACATAAACACATTTGTTTTGCTTAACCTATTTATGTAATATTTAGTTCTAAAATTAATTTTAAGGTCACACAAAAAAGTCACATTACACAGAAACCATTGTAATAATAATTTATCTGACATAGAAATAATAATAATAGATTTTATTTATAATGCGCTTTTCTAAAACCCAAAGCGCTTTAATTTACTCACTTTGGATAAAAGCGTCTGTTAAAGGACTAAATGTAAAATGTATAATAATTAACTCATAATTTTGTAAAGGCGTTTGTCCAAACCCTTTATCTGTCTGCCATCTTTGGTATTGTTTGTGAAAGGCCGCTTTGTCTAACAGTGAAATGGTTTACAATGTAAAGCACAATATACTTAAATGTACATTTAAATAACCGATGGTTATTTAAATAGAAGCTATAAAATTAAACAGAAAAACAATTAGGATGCTTGACTTTTCACCGAAGTTAATGTTCTGCTAATGAAAATAAATGTTGATTTACATCAGCATCTACTGTCAGATGTGCAATTCCAAGAGATAAAACATGTAATATTAGTAATTGTAAAATAAAAATGTATTCCATTTTCTAGCACGTTTCTTTAAGGCATCGTGACTTGATTCATCTGATGTTTAAAGTGGTGTGGATTCAAAGCAGATTCAGTTTTGTTACCATTAAATGTGCATATCTGTAAATCTGATGTTATCAAATGAGGAGATTGATAAAAACGCATGGAGACTCACCTGTGATGTCCTGTCAGATAATCCCACAGTATTAAATAATACTGCGTTTCGATTACAGTAAGTACAGGTTTATTGTACAGTGTAATAGTGTTGTAAACGTTAATGAGTGATAGGTTCCTCTCTTCAATGTTTAACCCTCCCACATCACATCATCATGGAAGAACATGAAAAAAAAATGAACCTAACAATGACAACATTTAAATGAACTGATTTATTAAAATTAAAATATTGTTTGACACTACAGTATAATCAACCTAAATTAATTTATACCAAGCAAAATTCATATGGTTTTAATCAAGTAAAAACAGCTTTATGAGTCACCGCTTTTTACAGTGAATGCAGCACACTTGTTCAGTTCAGGTTATATATATATATATATATATATATATATATATAGGCATATATATCAAGGATTGTGTTGCTTTATCTATTTTAAACTGAACAAGTGCTGCATTCACTAATTTTAGTATAGTTTTATATATTTACAATATTCCCAGACAAAAATACTTGATAACTTGAAAGTGTATCTTAAAATATATTAGTGTTATTGTTTTGTCTCAAGATGCACCTGTAATGTATTTTTCTTTATAACAGCTGCTTAATGTCAAGGCCGAATCCAGGATTTAGATAAACCAACCTTTGTACAGTCTTAAGGAAATGTAGCCTATTGTCACAGTCCTTCGTCTACACCAGTCTGTCTTCGTCATCTGCACTACACTTCCCAGGATCCTTTTGTCTCCTCTCCTGAACTCACTCCCTCATCAGCCACCTGTTCCTCGTTTTTGATCATCTGTTTCACCTGTTTTCACTCCATTATGTTTGATTCATCTGTGTATTTAGTTCCCTCAGTTTCATTCAGTCTTTGTCGGTCGTTGTCTAATGTGAGCTGTGTTGCACCCGTGTTCCTGTCTTCCTGCCTGTTTATTCTATTAAAAGCTATCTTTATGGTTAGAGTCCTCCGGTTCCTCAGCCAGCACCAGACCGTGACACCTATATAATTAATAATAATTTTTACGTCAAAATGTCACTCGGTTTGGACTTTGTTTCTGTTTCTGCCATAACTTGTTTATTATTTGAAAGACTGTTTGTATTCCCCTCAAAACTGGCGTGAGTGGCGTCCGTCCATCAGAGCGGACGTGACGACACACACACGGAATTAATGGTTTGATCCATAGTTATGAAGGTTTGGAACAACGGCCCTGGAGATTTTTCTGAGGAAAAAAATCAAACAAACCAACAAGAAATTACTCCTCAAACTGTCTGGTGATATCGTTTTATATAGGTGAGTTCATTGTAACTTAATGTTTAGAGAGCACATTGTTATTATTTTGTGTTTTTACAATGTTATTACAGTGTTTTTGCAGGTGGCCTATATGTTTGTAGTTTTAATATTGATCTGTATGGTATAGATGGACAAGTATTGTTTAATCGTCGTCATTACTGTTACAGTTATTTTTTATTCGCTTTGGTACTATTTTCACAAGTAAGGTGTACATTTTCAAAACTCTTAGTGCTAATTTCACAACAGATCATCAAAAGTGCACTTTTTTCAAACATTTCATCATGTTTTCAACTGTGTTTGTACAATTCACACAATCACAAAGTATCCCCGTCACAACACAAAATAAGTGTTTCATCTACATTATTGTTTCATTCACAGTAAAGCTCTTACTATCAAACTTTTGATTTGCATCTCTTTTTGTTCAGTTTAATACTTTTGTCTATTATTTAATCCAACAGATCTTAATGGTTAATCAATTAATCATTTGGTAAACCTATAGATTTTCATTTCAGCAATATACAGTATATGGATTTTGAGAACTACAGAAATAAAATGTGTGTTTGTATGAATATTTAAATTACATGTAACCACACATGATGAATACTCGTTATAGCTAATTGATTTCACATAGTGGTAACCACAATTGGCCACTATATACAGTACTGTAAATGATTGTAGAGGATGTCTTCATTGATCCTTCACTTGATTACATATATGATGGATATTTGGGAATGATAGATTCTGTAAATGTTGGGTACTGTAAGTGTATTGCCTAATGTTACAGTAAAACTTTTATAGTTCTATAAAAGTCTTTTATATATTCATTTCAGCACTTCTAAGGCTGATTTGGAACATGTATCTTGCATTGTTTGCTGTTGGATGAACTGATTGTTAAAAGTACTAAACTGAAAGAAGATCATATTGTTGTGTTTCAGTGATTAAACCAAATGTTCTCATTACATATTACAATAATCTTGTGTTTGAAATAAGGATTATGTGGACTGAAAACATTGCAACTGACTGAAAGCATTATGAAAGAATGACGAGCTGCGTTACAAGTGTGATCAGCTTGGATTGTTGTACTAAGAGTTTTAAAAATGTACACCTTACTTCTGAGAATAGTACCAAAGCGAATAAAAAAAACTGTAAACGCCTCAGTCAGTGACCTTGGCTTGAACATGCAGTACCGAATTTAACCACACGAGCGAATGAAAGTGTGTAAAAAAGCTTCATTTCTTCAGCGTTATTTTCTAAATCTGGCGTCTGAACTCAAGCAGAAATACTTTAATGCTAAATAGTGAATGTTTTATGATTAACAGCTACTAATAACGGATATAAACAGTCTTTATTGTGTTCTGACTGACTTTGTGCTCGTGTTTGATTGGCCGATGCACTCTGTGCTCGTGTGTGATTGGCCGATGCACTCTGTGCTCGTGTGTGATTGGACGACGTTAAACTCCGGGTTAACGGTTGAATCCGCTTGTTTTGAGGGTTTTCTCTCGTTATTTGTGCGAATCTCCGCGTTTCTCTCAGTCTCCGAGCGGGACATTATTTCTCGAGTGTGTGTGTTTGTAGTTTGAAGAGTTTCTCCTGATCTCAGACCGAGTGACCGTCATTGAGGTGTGTGTCGCGCTGAGTCAGTGCTTTAGCTCGAACCCTTTCTCAGTATCGCTTCTCGGCCTTTTGGCTAAGATCAAGTGTAGAATCTGTTCTTATCAGTTTAATATCTGATACGTCCCCTATCCGGGGACCATATATTAAATTGATTTTTGGATCAGGGAGGTGGAAGTAGGGGCTTGCTCCGTCCACTCCACGCATCGACCTGGTATTGCAGTACTTCCAGGAACGGTGCACCCCTCACGGGGAAATTACGATGTAAATAATAGAAACAATACTAGGACGCGATCTTTGTGCGTTGCGTTAAGCATGTCATTAAAATTGTGCAGGTGATAATGGTCGAATTAATTATAATTATTACATGTAATTGAAGTCACGCATATTGTTAATTTTTGGTAGATAATATGTGATATGAACGGCAATATGCATTGTTCACTCTGATGCTAACCGTGCATGCATAATATATGTACCTGATAAACATACATTTTATCCATGCAAGTAAAATAGTTTAATTTATCAACTATTTATTATTAAAATAAGATGTCAAAATATCGGTGAAATAATGTTCCATCTAAAATTGTCATTCGTTGTAATGGTCCGCACTTTGATTTTAACCATTACATTTTTAATGCCCCAGTATGCTATTTTAAAGGTTGCAAAAATTTTTGGAGTCTCATCTTACATGTTAACAAGCATCAAAGATTCAATTCAATTTCAATTCAAGTTTATTTGTATAACGCTTTTCACAATACATATTGATTCAAAGCAGCTTTACAGAAAGTGCATTACAAAAAAGTACATGGAAAAATACATTTAGTTAATCATGTAATATTTAGGGCATAACATGTCGCCGGCGTTGAGTCGTCTCTTCACAACCGTTTAGTTAAAAGATACAAAAAAACACTTTAATTTTTTCGTAATATACATTGCAGTATGACCTCATTTCTCAAAGCCTGTAAAACCACGAGTTTGAATATAGTGGGTGTTTCTAAAAATCGCTCCTCCGTCCTCCAGCCTGTGACCTGGACACCGATCGAGCTCAGCCATCTTGGAGAACATCTCGATTCTCTAACTGAAGTGATTCTTGTCGACACGCGTATAAATTCTTCACATCTGTCACAATGATTTTAATTTCTGCTTACCTTTGCAATAAAAAAAGATACTACCTAATAATATACTATAAATGTTTGAGGTCATAATCAATGCACGCTATGCTGCAATGTTAACCAAAATTGCTTGGAACTAATAAGAGCGCAAAGTGATGTGGATTCAGTTTTGTTCACACTAAATGTGCATTAATTGTTCCTAATGCGGTTACAGCAAATCTGATGATATTTTTGTGGTTTTAGTATTAAATGAGCAACATAAACGTATGGAGACTCACCTGTCAGATAATCCCACAGTATTAAATCAGCTTTCGTTACAAAACACAAATGAGTGATAGAAAGATTTACAATAGATCTTTTCAGCTGGAATCCCTCCCACAGCTCTGGATCAAATTCACCACAGATGAGAGAACACGGAAAAAATGATAACATAAAAAATAACAACTGTCGAAAATAATATTTAATATTACAGAATCAACCTAAATCCATTCTCATTTGATTGTATTACGTTCACTCTGCTTATATTTGTAAAATGGAATGTATCTTAATCTTTTTGTGTTTGGACAACATGAATAATTAGTGCATTAATGAAACCAGACTTGGACAGTGGATGTGTTGGTCGAGGTGGAAGAGTAGGAATAGGATAGTTATTGATAAATGTGTAGTAAAGTAGGAAATATAAAGAGCTGAGTTTGTGGTTAGTTTGTAGAATGGCGTTGTGACAGACGAGGGTGAATTGAGTTTCCATTACCGAGAAGTTCGAAAAAAATTACTTCCTAGTTTTTCATTGCATTTGCAGTCTAAAATGTAGAGCCAGACTGATATGTCGGCAGGTCGATATTATCGGCCGATATTAGGCATTTTACAAACTATTGGTATCGGCAGTTATCATGGCCCATAAATGAATATTTCAAAAAATAAAATAAAAATGGATGAAACGCTTCAACCATGTCATGTTGGAGTTGTATAAGTTTGTCCACCAGAGGGCGCTCTACACCGTCCCTGGCCTGTTGGCAACACTCGTCTATAACGCGCAACACAGTCTAGCTAACCACAAAGCTAGCTAATACCACTATC